AAAAAAGTGGAAGCACATACCTTGTTCATGGATTGAATGAATTAACATCATTGATATGTCCATATTACCCATGACAATCTATAGATTCAATGCAATTCTCATCAAAATACTAACAACATATATCACAGAACTAGTCCAAATTATTAAAAAGTTCATATGGAACCAAAAAATAACACAAATATCCACAGCAATCTAGATAAGTAGGACAAAGTAGGTGGGATCACAATACCGGATATCAGGTTATACTACAAAGCCACTGTAATCAGCTCAGCTTGGTACTGACACAAGAACCAGCATATAGATCTATGGAACAGAACAGAGAACTGAGAAATGGACCCGAGGCAATATGCTGAATTAATATTTGACAGAGGTGGCAAGAGCATACAGTGGAGTAAAGACAGCCTCTTCAATAAATAGTGTTGGGAAAATTGGACAGCTACATGCAAAAAAAAAAAAAAAAAAATGAAACTAGACCATCAACTTACACCCTACATAATAAACTCAAAATGGATAAAAGACTTAAATGTGACTCATGAATCCATAAAAATCCTAAAAGAAACTGTAGGCAACAAAATTTCAGACATCATATGCAGCAGAGTTTTCACTGATACACCACCTTAGGCAAGAGAAACAAAGGAGAAAATGAACACATGGGACTACATCAAACTAAAACGCTTCTGCACAGCAAAACAACCATCAAAATGGAAAGGGAACCCATTATATGGGAGAGAATAATGCCAATGATACATCAGATAAGGGATTAATATCCACAATATATAAAGTACTCATACAACTCAACAAAATGAAGACAAAGAACCCAATTAAAAAATGAGCAGAGGACCTGAATAGAAACCTCTCCAAAAAGGACATACAAATGACAAAATGCTCAACATCACTAATCAACAGAGAGATGCAAATTAAAACAACTATGAGGTATCACCTCACACCTGCCAGAATGGCTGCCATCAACAAATCATCAAACAACAAGTGCTGGTAAGGGTGTGGAGAAAAGGGGACTCTAGTACACTGCTGGTGTGAATTCAGACCAGTGCAGCCACTATGGAAAATAATATGTTGTTTCTTCAAAAAATAAAAAATTGAAATGACATTTGTCTCAGTGATCTCACTTCTAAGAATATACCCCAAGAAGCCTATAACACCAGTCAGAAAGAGTATATGTACCCCTATGTTTATAGCAGCACTATTTATAATCACTAATCTGGCAGCCCAATTGTCCATCAATAGATGAGTGGATAAAAACGCTGTGGTACATATACACAATGGAGCATTATGCACCTATTAGAAAGAATAATCTCTTATCCTTTGAGACAACATGCAGAGACCTGGAGAGTATTATCCTAAGCAAAACAAGCAAATCAGAGAAAGACAAATATCACATGATTTCACTTAATTGTGGAATATAATGAACAAAACAAACTGATAAACAAAATAGACCCAGAGACATAGACGTAGGGTATAGACTGACAAACCTCAGAAGAGGCGATGGTGGGGGGAGGGAAGAGATAAACCACATAACTTATATACATGTATGTGTAACCAATGGACATAGACAACAATGCTGGGGACAGGGCGGGGTGGGGGGTGTCAATGGGAGAAAAAGCAGGAACATCTATAATAAAAAAAAAAATTTTTTTAAATACCTTTACATGTGCTTCTACAAGAGACTCACTTCAGATGGAAAGGTATACAGACTGAAAGTAAAGAAATAAAAAAGATATTTCATGAAAATGGAAACACAAAATAAAGCTAGGGTGGCAATAAATAAATAAACAAACAAACAAACTTCCAACAAACAAAAGTCCTGGACCAGATGCCTTCACAGGTGAATTATACCAAACATTCAAAGAAGAGCTAACACCTATCCTTCTCAAACTAGTCTAAAAAACTCAAGTGGAGGGATGACTCCCAAGTTCATTTTATGAAGCCAGCATTATCCTAATTTTAAAACCGGATAAAGACACTACAAAAAGAAAATTATAGGCTAGCATCCCTGATGAAAACAGATACAAAAATCCTCAACAATATATTAGCCAACTAAATCCATCAATACATTGAACATGGATTTATTCCTGGGATGGAAGGTTGAAACAATATGTGCAAATCAATTAATGTGATATACTCCCTATCAGTAGATTGGGGAAAAATTTGACAAAGCCCAGCACCCATTTATGATTAAAACTCTCAACAGAGTGGAAATAGAGGGAACACAACTCAACATAATTAAAGCCATGTATGAATACGCACAGCGAACATTATCCTCAGTTGGGAAAAATTAAAGACCTTTACCTTAAGATCAGGAACAAGACAGGGATATTTGCTTTTACCACTCTTTTTCAATATAGTACTGGAAGTCCTAGCCACAGTAGTCAGAGAAGAGGAAGAAAGAAAATGCATCTACATTGAAAGGAAGAAGTAAAATGTCATTATTTGTAGACAACATTATACTGTGTATTGAGAACCCTAAAAATTTCATGAAAAGAACTACTAGAACTGATAAATAAATTCAGGAAAGTAGCAGGATATAAATTAAATATCCAGAAATGGCATTTTTATACTCCAATAATAAACTCTCAGAAAAACGAAGAGGAAAAACCCATTTACATTTGTATGAAAAAATAAAATACATCGGAATAAACTTAATCTAGGAGGTAAAAAGCCCAATGGTTGCCAGAGGTGACAGGGTTTGGGGAACTGGGTCAAAAAGGTGACAGGATTGAGACATTTGTATTAGTAGTTATAGAATAGTCATGGGAATGTAAGGTACAGCATAGAAAATATAGTCAATAATATTGCAGTATCAATGCATGGTGCCAGGATAGACATATGGCAGGATTAGAACAAGCCTCAATGACTTTAAAAGACTGCAATGACACACAGGAACATTTCTGAATTATAATGATGGAAATTATAAATTAACAAAGAAAATTTGGAAGTTCAAAAAATTTTGGAAATTAAAATCATTTCTAAATACCGTGGTGAAAGAAGAAGTCACAGAGAAAATTAGGAAATACTTTGACATGAATGAAAATGAAGGCATAACATACGAAATGTATGAGATGCGCTGAAGCAGTGCTTAGAAGCTGTAAATACCTACGTTAGAAAAAGAAAGTTCTCAACTAAGCAATCTAAACTTTTACCTTAACGTATTCAAAAAAGAAAAGCAAACTAAACCCAGAGCAAGTAGAGGAAGGAAAAAATAGAATTAATGAAACCAAATGTTTGGTTCTTTGAAAATATCAATAAAAAATGGACAAACCTTTAGCTATACTGACCAGGAGAAAAACAGAGATGACTGAAATTACTAAAATCAGGAATGAAAGGTCCATGACAGAGACTAGAAGTCAATGGGGGGGGGGGGGGGGGTGATGAGCCAAAGAGTTTCATTTTAATGCATCTAAAATTAGAATACATTAATAAAAATGAGAACATCTGAAATACAATAATGGATAGGACTGCAGGACAACAGGGGTGATTTGGGACATATGGTCACTCATGTTGTAATGGACAACTCTGAACACAGTTATCCTCTTGGTAGTGTGTGTTTTTAAAGTGGGATTAAGGCATCATCTGGTTTAAAGTGATATTTTCCCCATTAAACATAAATAATTATCACAGTAATGGATAAAATGTTAGGTAAATTTTAAAAAACTATTTTAGGTTATTATGTGTTACCTGCTCCAACTAAAATTTAAAATTTTTAATAATAATAGTTTTATTGTTAAATAAAATTTTCAGTTTTAAAAGCATCTACTCTAGTCTAGGGCAGGACACAATTTATAACATAATTCGTAAATGTTGTCAATGCTGGATTGTTCTATTTGAACAAACTTTTTAGTGTTTTTATTACCTGAGTGATTTTTATTCATTAGTAAAGTTGAAAAGTTGAACATACAGTTAATGAAACAAAAAATAAAAAATTATTTCTAATCTCTTTACTCCAAAGATAACAATTGATATTTTCTAGAATTTTTCTTTGTGTGAGATATTACTAATTTTTCTTTTTTAGGTGGAGCATATAAGAGAATTTATTGTATTCTTATTGCAACTTTTCTGTAGGTTTGGATTTTTGCAAAATAAAAATTTAAAACTATAGAAAAAATATCTCTCTTCTGAATATACCACTAATATCATAAAAGCATTGATTTTTCTTAAAGCTTGAGAGGGTTTTAATATTAGTTTCATTTTTATTAAATTTATTGGGCTAAATTGGATAAAAACATAAATTTCAAGTGTACACCTTTATAATGCAACTGTATGCTCTAGCGTGTGCTTACCACCTGAAGTCTAGTCTCCGTACATCACCTTATATTTGATTTCCTTTACCTTCTTCATCCACCCCCCACTCCCCTTCTCCTCTTGTAACCATTATCCCGTTGTCTGTATGTATGAATTTGTTCCTTTTTGTTTTATATGCCACAGATGAGTGTAATCACACGGTTCTTGTCTTTTTCCATGTGATTTACTTCACTTAGCATAATACTTTAAAGATCTATCCATGTTGTGGCAAATGGTAATATTTCATGTTTATATATGTAACATACCTTCTTTAATCATACATTGAAGAACACTTGGGTTGTTTCCATGTGTTGGCTATTGTAAATAATGCTGCAGTGAACATATATGTCCATCTTTATGAAAAAGTGTTTTCAAAAATTTCAGATAGATACCCAGAAAGAAGATTGCTGGGTCATATGGTAGCTCTATCCTTTGTTTTTTCAGAAACCTCCATACTGATTTTTCATAGTCGCTGCACCAATTTACATTCCCACCAGCAGTGTATGAGGGTTTCCTTTTCTTCACATCCTCTCCAACATTCGTTATTTCCTGTCTTACTGATAACAGCCATTCTAATGGGTATGAGGTGCTGAGATATAATGAGTAATCTATAAGTATATTTTGAAGTTGAGGTGCTAATGAACAGTTTGTTGTCATGTTCCTTCACAAAAACTAAGTTCCTGTTGTCTTCTGCTTGCTTCTAGGTCTCTATCCTGCTACCAGAGGAGAGGCCTATGTTAATGGATATGCTATCTCAAAGCAGATGGTCCAGGTCAGGAAAAGCTTGGGCTTGTGTCCCCAGAAGGACTCATTGTTTAATTACTTGACAGTGTCAGAACACCTTTATTTCTATGGTGTGGTAAGCCACAGATGTATTCCTTTGTTCCCCACTCTATTTATGTACTTAAGGTAGATTACCTACTATCAATATCTTTATTCTTAGAAAGTTCAAAAATTTATTTTTGATGAATTTTTCTTTAAACATAAAGAGAGGCAAAGGGAAGAAGACGTTGTGTCGATGATGTAAGAAAAGAGCTGGTGCAGCATGTTTCTGGCAAGAAGTTGGAAGCACCATGTGAACTCTGCCTTCTTTTTCCAGATAAAAGGAATCCCTCGAAAAATTTACCATATGGAAAAGGAGCGTATACTGTCTGCTTTTAACCTGCTAGAAAAGCGAAATGCATTTTCAAAGTCACTGAGTGGAGGAATGAAGCGCATACTCTCCATCATTATAGCACTTATGGGGAACTCCAAGGTAAAAGTAAAATAAAAGCTAAAAATGGATCCCCACTGAAGCTGTTCTAAAAAAACAGCTCACACACACACACACACACACACACACACACACACACACACACAAAACAGCTGACACAAACCCAAGACTTGTACCTAACACTCTAAAAGGAGCCTCCCAAATCCCAGATGGATTCACATTATCAACTTTGTTGGTGTAAAACAGTCATAGGTTTGGAATCAATCTAGCATTCCTAATTCAATTTTAGTCTAAACTTATTATCTTAGCTCAGTTGGACAAGTGACTGAAATAGCAAAAACAGAATAAGCCTCATGACTGTAAGACCCTAGTGGTACTAATATATAATGTTTAACTATGGTCATGGAATTGTTCTTCTGGTCTCTAGGTGGTGATACTTGATGAGCCCACAGCTGGCATGGACCCCGCCTCAAAGAGGGCCACCTGGGATTTCCTTCAACGGTATAAACGGAACTGTACCATCTTACTGACCACCCACTACATGGATGAAGCTGACATCCTGGGTGACCGCATAGCCATCATGGTGAACGGAACTTTGCGATGCTGTGGCTCTTCACTTTTCCTCAAAAAGATATATGGTCTGACTCCCTTTAATCATTCTTTGGATATTGATGTCTTAATATTATTCCAACATAGTTTTTATGGATGTTGATACTTTAATATTATTTAACATAACTTTTGCTGTTACTTTTCTATCTACCAAAAACTTCAGTGATTCCCTCTGTTCCTTTAATTGTGCTCAGCTATGAGCCCTTTGAAATAATGGTCATATTTTAGTTTTTCAAAATTATTGCATTATCCCGATTTTATATTCATTTCTTTTATATGGCATCTACTTAAATTGTAAGTTGCCCAACTGCAGTTGGACTTTTAATGAGATAGGTAGGTAGGTAGGTAGATAGATTCCAGTAATTTACCTTTAACCCCATTCCATCTATTCCCTTTCCCCAGAGGCAACTGCCTTTTAATTTTCATCACCATACATTATTTTTTCCTGTTGTTGAAAATCATATAAATGAATTATACACAATAATTTTTGTTTCTGTTTCTTTTTTTTTTTTTTTTTTTTACCTCAGACAGTATTTTGAGGTTCATCTTTATTGCTGCATGTATCAGTAGTACATACACTCTACTCTTCATGCATTTTAGGTTGTTTAAGGTCATTTCCAGTTTTCAAATATCATGAATGAATATGTTGTAAGGGTGAAAATATGTAGGCATGTAGTTACTTGGTCAATTATTAAGTGTATTTCTGCCAAAAGATTCTCCAAAGTGCTTGTATTATTTTACACCTACCAGTGTGTTTGAAAAATCAACTTGCTCTATATCCACACAAATATTTTGTTGTCGTCTTTGGATTTTAGCTGTTTACAGAATGGAAAACAATATTTTTTATTATTTTAACTTCCAGTTTTCTTAGGAATAATTACATTTAGTACATTTTTATGTACAACTTGGCTTTTTGTATAATTTACTCTCTGAAGTATAAACGTTGGTTGGTTATGTTTTTTATTCTTCATTTCCAATTCATATATTCCAAAACTCAGTCCTTTGTCAGGTATATCTATTGTGAATATTTCTCCAAATGTATTGCTTGCCTATTCATTTTGTTGTTGTTGTTTGCTGGTATCGTTTGATGAGCATACATTTTTAATTTTTAAAAGTCAAGTTTATCAATTATTTTCCATTTTTGGCCTATACTTTTAAAAAAACCATTGCTTATATAAAGGTTGCAAAGATATTCTCTTATATTTTATTCTGAATTGTATGGTTCTAGTTTCTAAAAGTTTATGATATATTTTAAGTGAATTTTTTTTTGTGTGAATGGTGTTAGGTAAGTGTTGATGTTGATTTTTTTTTCATCTGAGAATCCAGATCCATTTGTGGAAAGCACACTCCTTTTTCTGTTAAGTTAGTACTTAACAGAAAAAATCAATTGACTGTTTATATGTAGGTCTACTTTTGGGTTTTCTATTGTTTCATTGATCTAGGTCTATCTTTTTACAAATACTCCAGTCATGAACACTGTGTGTTTATAGTAAGTCTTGAAAACAAGTAATGTCTATCCACTTAATTTCTCTCTTTTTCAAAATTAGTTCACCTGTTTTAGGCCCTTTTTAGTTTTATATAAATTTTAGGGTCATTTTGTCAAATTCTACAAAAAAGCATGGTAGGATTTTGATTGGAATTGCTATAAATCTTTTTATTTATTTTTTATTTTTGTTACAGATGTTTCCCTTGTTCCCCCATTTGCATCCTCCTCCCATCCCCTCCCATTCCATTCCCAGCATTGTTGTTCCTGTCCTTGTTTACACATACATGCGAAAAGTTCTGTGGTTTATCTCTTCCTTCCCCCCAAATAGACCTCTTCTGAGGTTTGTCAGTCTGCACCCCACTTCCATGTCTCTGGGTCTGTTTTGTTCCTCAGCTTGTTTTGTTCATTATATTTCACAGATAAGCGAGATCATGTGATATTTGTCTTTCTCTGATTGGCTTGTTTCACTTAAAATAATACTCTCCAGATCCTTCCATATCATCTCAAAGAATAACAGATCTTTCTTTCTTACAGCTGCATAGTATTACATTGTGTATATGTACCACAGCTTTTTTATTCACTCATCTATAGATGAACAATTGGGCTGTTTCCAGATGTTAGTGATTGTGTAAATATTGCTGCTATAAACATAGGGGTACATACATTTTTTCTGATTGGTGTCTCAGGCTTCTTAGGATATATTCCTAGAAGTGGGATCACTGGGAAACACCATGTTATTTTCCATAGTGGCTGCACCAGTCTGCATTGCCACCAGCAGTGTATTAGAGTCCCCTTTTCTCCACACCCTCGCCAACACTTGTTGTTTGATGATTGGTTGATGATGGCCATTCTGGCAGGTGTGAGGTGATACCTCATTGTTGTTTTAATTTGCATCTCTCTGATGATTAGTGATGTTGAGCATTTCTTTATATGTCTCTTAGCCATTTGTATGTCCAGTTTGGAGAGGTGTCTATTTAGTTTTTCTGCCCATTTTTTAATTGGGTTCTGTATCTTCCTTTTGTTGAGTTGTATGAACATTCTCTGTATATTGGAAATTAACCCCTTATCTGATATATCATTGACAATTATGCTCTCCCATACAGTGGGTAGCCTTTCCATTTTGATGATTGTATCTTTCGCTGTACAGAAGCTTTTGAGTTTGATGTAGTCCCAAGTGTTTATTTTCTCCTTTGTTTCTGTTGCCTTAGGTGATGTATAAGTGAAAATTCCAAAGCGTATGATGCCTGAAATTTTCTCACCTACATTTTCTTCCAGGATTTTTAGAGATTCATGAGTCACATTTAAGTCTTTTATCCATGTTGAGTTTATTCTCGTGTATGGTGTAAGTTAGTGGTCTAGTTTCATTTTTTTTTTGCATGCAGCTGTCCAATTTGTCCAACACCATTTATTATTAAAGAGGCTGTCTTTACTCCACTGTATGCTCTTGCCACTTTTGTCAAATATTAATTGAGCATGTTGCCTTGGGTCCATTTCTGGGTTCTCTATTGTGTTCCATTGATCTATCTGCCTGTTCTTGTGCTGGTACCGGGCTGTTTTGATTAGAGTGGCTTTGTTGTATAACCTGAAATCTGGTAATGTGATCCCTCCTACTTTGTTCTTCTTTTTCAAGATTGCTGTGGCTATTTGAGGTCTTTTTTGGTTTCATATGAACTTTTGAAGTATTCGTTGTAGTTCTTTGAAGTATGTTGTTGGTATTTTGATGGGGATTGCATTGAATCTATAGATTGCTTTGGGTAGTAGGAACATTTTAATGATGTTAATTCTTCCAATTCATGAAGAAGGTATGTGCTTCCACTTTTTGTATATCTTCCTCTGTTTTTTCTTTTTTCAATGACCTGTAGTTTTCTGTGAATAGATCCTTTATTTCTTTGGTTAAGTTTATTCCTAGGTATCTTAATTTTTTTTGCCGCGATAGTAATCGGATTGTTTTGTTTTTGTTTTTGTTTTTGTTTTTAGTTTCTGTGAGTTATTGGGGTATAAGAATGCCATCAATTCCTTGACGTTAATGTTGTATCCTGCTACTGTTCCAAATTCATTTATTAAGTCTAGTAAATTTTTGATGGTATATTTAGGGTTTTCTTCATATAGTATCATGTCATCTGTGAATATGACAGTTTCACGTCCTCCTTTCCTATTCAGATCCCTTTTATTTTTAATCCCTGTCTGATTGCTGTGGCAAAGATTTCCAGTACTATGTGAAAAAAGAGTGGCAAAAGTGGGAATCCTTGTCTTGTTCCTGTTCCTAAGAAAAATGCTTTTAGTGTTTGCCCATTGAGTATGATTTGGATGTAGGTCTATCATACATGGCCTTTATTATGTGGAGATCTGATCCCTCTATTCCCAGATTGCTGAGCGTTTTTATCAGAAATGGGTGCTGGATTTTGTTGAATGATTTTTCAGCGTCTATTGATGTGATCATATAATTTTTATCTTTCATTTGTTTTATGTGGTGTATCACATTTATTGATTTGTGGATATTGTACCAGCCTTGCAACCCTGGGATTAATCCCACTTGGTCATGGTGAACAATTTTTTTGATGTATTGCTGGATTCGATTTGCTAGTATTTTGTTCAGGATGTTGGCATCCATGTTTATCAGGGATGTTGGTCTGTAGTTTTCTTTCTTTGTAGTTTCTTTCTTTTTCTGGTTTTGGAATTAGAGTTATGCTGGCCTCATAAAACAAGTTTGGAATTCTTCCTTCTTCTTGAATTTTTTGAAGTAGTTTGAGGAGAATGGGTATTAGTTCTTCTTTGAATGTTTGGTAAAATTCCCTCGTGAAGCCATCTGGGCCTGGGTTTCTTTTTTTGCTGGGAGAGTCTTGATTACATCTTCAATTTCTTTTGTTGTTATTGGTCTGTTCAAGATTTCTATCTCTTCTTGGTTCAGTTTTGGGAGAGTATGTGTTTTTAGAAATGTTTCCATTTCACTTAGATTGTCGATTTTTTTGCCATATAATAGTTCATAATATCTGTTAACAATCCTTTGTATTTCTGTGTTGTCAGTTATTATTTCTCCTCTTTAATTTGTGATTTTGTGTATTTGGGTTCTCTCTTTTTGTTTCTTGGTGAGTCTACCTAAGGGTCCATCAGTCTTGTTTATCTTTTCAAAGAACCAGCTCTTTGTTTCATTGATCCTTTGAATTGTTTTTTGGTCTCTATGTCATTTACTTCTGGTCTGATCTTTACTATTTCCTTCCATCTACTTGCTCTGGGGTTTTCTTTTTGTTTGCATTCTAGTTCTTTAAGTTGTGAGGTTAGATCGTCTATTAGAAATTTTTCTTGCTTCTTGAAGTAGGCCTTTAGTGCTATGAACTTCCCTCTCAAAACTGCTTTCGCAGCATCCCATAGATTTTGTGTTGTTGTGTGTTCATTTTCATTGGTTTCCAGGAAGTTTTAAATTCCTTCCTTGAAATCCATGGTAACCCATTCATTGTTTACTAATATGCTATTTGCCTTCCATGTTTTCAAATGTCTTTGCATGTCCTTGTTGCAATTGATTTCTAGTTGCATGCCATTGTGATC